GGGGGCAGAGGAGGAAGCCAGAGAAAAGGGAAGAAAAAAACTCAACTTAAAAAAAAAGAATAAGGCCAGGTGTGGTAGCTCACAGCTGTAATCCCTGTAATCCCAGCACTTTGGGATGCTGAGGTGGGAGAATCACTTGAGCTCAGTAGTTTGAGGCCAGCCTGGGAAAGATGGCAAGACCTCATCTCTACGAAAAATAGAACAATTAGCTGGGTGTGGAGGCGTGCACCTGTAGTCCCAGCTATCCAAGAGGCTGAGGTAGGCAGATTTGAGGCCAGAAGGTCAAGGTCATTATGAGCCATGATAGTGACACTGCAATCCAGCCTAAGTGACGGAGTGAGATCATGTCTCAAAAAACAACAACAACAACAAACAACAATAAGCCTCTAGTGCGGGAAACTAAAGTATGGCGGGATGGAGTTCGAAGCCAGGTCTATCTGCCTCCTGTGCTTCATACTTCCTGTTGTTCTTATTCTCATCTGAGCTAAAAGGAAACTGAGGCTCAGAGTGAAAGACTTGATGACGGTCACAGAATAGCTAGTGGCAAAAACGTTCCCGAATTCAGCTTCAGCGCACTGTTGAGGAAAGTACTTCCCAAATGCTAATGAATGAAAGCCTGCAGGTTGTGTGCTTGCTGAGCATTTATGTGTCAGGGACCGTGCCAAGTGCTTTTCATGCATAACATCCTTTATCCTCACAATTGTTCCATGAAGGGTATGATGATGCATGTATTTCTTTTTTTTTCCTTTTTCTTTTTTTGTTTTTGAGACGGAGTCTTCACTCTGGCGCCCAGAGGCGTCATCTCAGCTCACTGCAACCTCTACCTCCCGGGCTTAAGCGGTCCTTATGCATCAGCCTTCCGCGTAGCTGAGACTATAGGCGCGCATGCATATTTCAAATAGGAAACTGAAGCCCAGAGAGGAAAAATGACCTACTGTTCTCACTGGCTGAAACATGCAGACCCCAGCTTGCTTCCTCCTCTGATTCAAGTCTGTTCACTGTTGCCTCTTCAGACAGACCCTCTCTGATGACTGCCACTGTATAAACTAAACAGTCACTTGCTGAAGGTTACCTAAGAGGCAGAGCTGGGGCATGAAGCCAGGCAGGCTGGCTTCCCAGTATATGCCCATAACTGCCACACTGCACAACTGGAGGGGCACTGAGAGACAATCACACCTTGGGGTTTTAGGGTGCTTAGACCCCAGGCTTTTCTTTTATGAGATAGAGTCTCACTCTGTCACCCAGGCTGGAGTGCAGTACTACAATTTCGGCTCACTGCAACTTCCACCTCCTGGGTTCAAGTGATTCTCGTGCCTTGGCCTCGTGAGTAGCTGTGAATACAGGCACACACCACCACCCCCAGCCAACTTTTAAATTTTTAGTAGAGACAGGGTTTTGCCATGTTAACCAGGCTGGTCTTGAACTCCTGACCTCAGGTGATCTGCCTGCCTTGGCCTCCCAAACTGCTGGGATTACAGACATGAGCCTCCGCGCCTGGCCATACACCCCAGCCTTCTGAGAAACCTGTCTTTGGGCTCTTCAGACTAGAGCTGGGATAGGTCTGAACAGAACACCTCCAGGACCCAGCACTCACCTATCGAAGGCCTTCACGCGGCCCAGGAGTTTCTTATTGTTGCGGCAGTTGATAAGCACTTGGGTGTTGTTTTTGACGGACTGAGTGAGCACAGAGAGTGGACCCGTGTTAAATTCCTCCTCCTCTCGCTTCTGCAGCTCCTCCGGGGTCATCTCACTCTTGGGCTTGTTGAGGAGGCTCCTGCATGGACAAACGCAAAACCCGTAAGTGAGAGAGGCTGGAGCTGTGAGAATGGGTGGTCAGGGCCTCAGCCTCAAGTCTCCCCAACCTTGTCCCAGCATACCCATCCTCCTGCTCAGCCTTATCTCTGGGTATCATGAACTGAACGCCTAACAGACATTTTCTTTTTCTTTCTTTCTTTCTTTTTTTTTTTTTTTTTTGAGATGGAACCTTGCTCTGTTCCCCAGGCTGGAGTGCAGTGGCACAATCTCAGCTCACCACAACCTCCGCCCCAAGTGATTTCTCCTGCCTCACGCACCTGAGAGTAGCTGGGATTATAGATCTCTGCTACCACACCCAGCTAATTTTTGTATTTTCCTGGTAGAGATGGGGTTTTACCATGTTGGCCAGGCTGGTCTCAAACTCCTGACCTCAGGTGATCCTCCCAAAGTGCTGGGATTACAGGCATTAACCACTATGCCAGCCTTTTTTTTTTTTTTTTTTTTTTTTTAAGACAGAGACCTGCTGTCACCCAGGCTGGAGTGCAATGCCGCAATCTCGGCTTACTGCAACCTCCACCTCCTGGGTTCAAGCGATTCTCTTGCCTCAGCCTCCCGAATAGCTAAGGTTACAGGTGACCACCACTACACCCAGCTAATTTTTTTGTATTTTTAGTAGAGACGGGGTTTTGCCATGTTGGCCAGGATGTTCTCAAACTCCTGACTTCGGGTGATCCATGCGCTTCGGCCTCCCAAAGTGCTGGGATTACAGGCATGAGCCACCGTGCCCGCCATAACAGACATTTTCAACTGTTTATGTCCTAGATAGGGATCCAAATCACCCAACCAACCGAGCCTATCCTACCCACAGTGTTCCCCATCTGCTTTGACGGTAACTCCATACCTCTAGTCCTCTGGGCAAACACTCTGTCAACCTGATTCCTCTTTTTCCCTCATAGCCTACATTAAATCTGTAGGAAACGGCCATTTCTTATCATGGCATAAGCCTCCATCATCTCTGTCCTAGAATCTTTCTGGTCTCTCTGCCTCCACTCATGCTCCACGACAGTCTGTGGGGTTTTGCTAAAACCTAAATCATAACATGCCACTCTTCAAAACCCTCCCAGGGGCTGGGTGTGGTGGCTCATGCCTGTAATCCCAGCACTTCAGGAGGCCGAGACAGCGGGTCACTTGGCATCAGGAGTTTGAGATCAGCCTGGCCAACACGGTGAAACCCATCTCTACTCAAAGTACAAAAAAACAAAACAAAACCCTCCCATGGCTCCCCCATCTCAGTGTATAAAGTAAAACCCCAGCTAGGCTCAGAGGTTCACACCTGTAATCCCAGCACTTTGAAAGGTGGAGGCAGGTGGATCATTTGAGGTCAGGAGCTCAAGACCAGCTTGGCCAACATGGTGAAACCTGCTCTTTACTAAAAATACAGAAGTTAGCTGGGAGTGGTGGCGGGCACCTATAATCGTAGCTACTCAGGAGGTTGAGGCAGGAGAATCGCTTCAACCCTGAGGTGGCGGTTGCAGTGAAACGGGATTACACCACTGCACTCCAGCATGAGTGACAGAGCAAGGCTCTCTTTCAAAAAAAAAAAAAAGAGAGAGAGAGAGACTTTTTTTCCCCCCTTAGGGATGGGAAGTTTCATTCATTGATGTATCCTATGTGACTTAAACGGTGTCTTTTACATAAGCACTCAATGTAATATTTGCTAAACTAATAAATGCACAAAATCATGCCAATGACTCATTATCTGTAGAAGGTTTGAATTAGGTGGAAAACATACCCGTCTCCAACTCAAATGATCAGGATAAGTCCCTTATTTGAAATCATTATTTCTAAAAGTCCGCACTTCTGGCAGGGCGCGGTGGCTCATGCCAGTAATCTCAGCACTTTGGGAGGCCGAGACAGGTCAATCACGAGGTCAGGAGATCAAGACCATCCTGGCCAACATGGTGAAATCTCGTCTCTATTAAAAATAAAAAAATTAGCCAGGCATGGTGGCGCGCGTCTGTAGTACCAGGTTCTTGGGAGGCTGAGGCAAGGGAATCGCTTGAAATGGGAGGCAGAAGCTGTAGCGAGCGGAGCTCGCTCCACTGCACTCCAGCAAGACTCCGTCTCAAGAAAGGAAAAAAAAAAAAGTCCTAACTTCCCTCCTCCAGTATTCGTAAGATTGCTGCCCCTTAACATTCATTTCAGTAGGACTAATTATATAGGAACCCCCCCAATCCTGTTATCTTTTAAAACATGTTTTTCATAATTAAAAAAATTTTTTTTGTAGAGACGGGGTCTCGCTATGTTGTCTAGACTGGTGTCGAACTCCTGTGTCATAGCAATGCTCCTGCCTTGGCCTCCCAAAGTGCTGGGATCGCAGGCATGAGCCCCCGCGCCCGGCCCAGCGCGTTATCTAATTAAGCTTCTCCTCCTCCGAACTCATGACGCGCCAAAGGCCGCACGCCCGTTCTCAAACTCATCAGGAGAAAAGCAGGACGCTCCAGCCCTAAAACGTCTTGCCCCTGTCCCCCGGCTCTGCTCACCCCTGCCCCCCAGCTCTGCTCACCGCTTCCCACCCTCAATCGGCCAAATTCCCACCCTCAACCTCATTCCCGCCGCCTATGCCTTAGCCGGGCCTCACATGTTGGTCACTAAGCTCTCGGTTCACTCCGGTTTCCTCCGCGTTGCTGCCGCCTGAGGAGAGAGAGGCGGGACTTCCTCTTCCTGCGACCCACTTCCGGTGGCGCCTGCGCAAAGCCAACCAGCAAGTGGAGGCGTGGACTGTTGCCGTAGCATTTCCCACCAATGGCGCACAATGATGGAATTAAAGCCTCGGGTGGGGTTTCGAGGCCAGTCGGAACCACACTGGGCAGATGTTCATGACAATGAAGAGAAAAGGAAAGGCGGTCTGATTCAGACCATTTTGTTGTAGAATGGTACAGGTTGAAGGAGGGAAATGACAAGCTATTTCCAAATGCCCGCCAGCCTTGACTTCGGGGGCACGGCCTCCGTGAAGCCAATCTGCTCCTCGCTTCGGAAATGGGCACCGCCCCTCTTCCCTCTGGGACGGGTTATTGACGTTTCTACTGATCTTTCCGACCCTGCGCCACCAATCCCGTGCCTACATCCGGGAAGGGGCATAGACATGCGCCCGGGAAGGCGAATGTTTTCCACGATCAAACCCTGCTCATTGGCTTTCTCGTCTCCGCTAAGGCGGAGCCTACCCCTTTTACGCTCTCTTTTGGGCCGTGCAATTCTCAGGGGAACCAACCCCAATACCCAAGGGCGGCTGGGAGGCGTGTCCTCAGGACCACAGTTCTCGTTGGTGTCACTGCTCACTGTGGGGCGCGCTGGTGCAGCCGCTGCTGTTGCTCATTGGCCCATCGATTCCATGGGGTGGAACTTGGCTGGGCCTAAACTCAATCCGCGGTCTGGGACTGGTTTCAGGGCAAAGCTGCCATGCGTTCCGGGGGCCGCGGGCGGCCCCGCCTGCGGCTCGGGGAACGTGGCTTCATGGAGCCACCTTCGCTGCCGAAGCGCCGCCTGCTACCGCGGGTTCAGCTCTTGCCCCTGTTGATGGCCCTGGCCGTGGGCTCGGCGTTCTATACCATTTGGAGCGGCTGGCACCGCAGGACTGAGGAGCTGCCGCTGGGCCGGGAGCTGCGGGTGAGGCTGGGCGGGGACCCAGACAACCCGGGGACCCTCATTCCCAACCCCCTGTTACCTAGAGCCTAGGGTTGACGTGGCTTTAGTGTACGGCCCTAACCGCAGGTGTCACCGTCTCTGTCATCTCAGCCCATGTCCCTTACCAAAGGAATAAGGCTTCGGGCTGATTCTGCAACAGTAGCATCCTCTTAAGAGGAAGGGTCTGAAATAGTGAGACAGGGGGTTCAGGGTTCTACGCCTCTGGTCAACTATTTGGAAAAGTCCCGAACCTTTCCCCTCTCTCTCACTGGACCTCGATTTCCCCATCAAGTTTGAGGTAGGCTGGAGCAGATGGGCTTGGAAGGACTTTTCCCGAGTCTTGGATTTATCCTAGAAGTCTGTGATGCTGGAGGCCGAAGATTGGGAAGAGGACCCGGGGCCCCTTGGGAGTGACGGCGCCCGGGGTAGGGTAGAAATTAGGGGTTGCCCTCATTCTTCCCTTCCCTGTCCCACCTCCTTCTCAAGGTCCCGTTGGTTGGAAGCCTCCCCGAAGCCCGGCTGCGGAGGGTGGTGGGACAACTGGACCCGCAGCGTCTCTGGGGCACTTATCTGCGCCCTCTCCTGGTTGTGCGAACCCCAGGCAGCCCGGGAAATCTGCAAGTCAGAAAGGTAAAGGGACCCACCTCCAGTCCCTGACCCCCTAGCCCTCCAGGGAATCGGAAATAAGCATCCTGTTCAAGATCCCAAAGGACCTAAGAGGAGGAACTGGAGCACTGACTGGAGTTAATCGGACTCTAGACTCCCATGCTAGTACTGCCTACCTTAATGCCCCCACCAAAAGCTTACTGTGTGCTAGGCATAGGCAACAGACAGCCCTATAAGGTGGGTACCAATATGATCTTCATTATGCAGATGGGGAAACTGAGGCTCAGAGAGGTTATACACATTGTGCAAATCCTACAGATAAATGGTAGACCTTGGCTGGGTGTGGTGACTCACGCCTGTAATCCCAGCACTTTGGGAGGCCGAGGCCAGAGGATCACCTGAGGTGGGGAGTTGGAGATCAGCCTGACCAACGTGGAGAAACCCCGTCTCTACTAAAACTACAAAAAATTAGCCAGGAGTGGCGGCGCCTGCCTGTAATCCCAGTTACTCTGGAGGCTGAGGCAGGAGAAGTGCTTGAACCCAGGAGTCAGAGGTTGCGGTGAGCTGAGATCATGCCATTGCACTCCAGCCTGGGCAACAAGAGCGAAACTCCGTCTCAATAAATAAATAAATAACAGTTTTAGAAAGTGATAGACCTAGAGTTTGAACCCAAGCAGGTTGGCACCAAGCTGGTGCTGCAATCCATCTATTGTTTCCCAGAAAGCATCAAGAGTCATTTAAAGGCCAGGTGCAGTGGTTTATGCCTGTAATCCCAGCACTTTGGGAGGCTGAGGCAGGCAGATTACTTGAGGTCAAGACTTTGAGACCAGCCTGGCCAACATGGTGAAACCTGTCTCTACTAAAAATAGAAAATTAGTTGGGCGTGGTGGTGGGTACCTGTAGTCTCAGCTACTCGGGAGGCTGAGGCACGAGAATCACTTGAACCCGGGAGGTGAAGGCCACAGTGAGCTAAGATCGTGCCACTGTGACCCAGCATGGGTGACAGAGTGAGACTCCATCACACACACAAAAAAAAAGTCATTTAAATATTGCCTGAGTCCCAGTGCTACCTCATTCACTTAGATTGTGATCATGGGGCCAGGCATGGTGGCTCACGCCTGTAATCCTAGCACTTTGGGAGGCTGAGGTGGGTGGATCACCTGAGGTCAGGAGTTCAAGACCAGCCTGGCCATCATGGTGAAACCCCATCTTTTTTTTTTTTTTTTAAAGATGGAGTTTCACCATGTTGTTGGTCAGAATGGTCTTGATCTCCAGACCTCAGGTGATCCGCCCGCCTTGGCCTCCAACGTGCTTGGATTACAGGCGTGAGCCACCACGCCCGGCTGAAACCCCATCTTAAAAAAAAAAAAAAAAGACTGTGACCATGGACTAGGTTTTTTTTTTTTTTCTGTTTCTTTCTTTTTTTTTTTTTTTTTGAAATGGAGTCCTGCTCTGTGGCCCAGGCTGGAGTACAGTGGCGCAATCTCGGCTCACTGCAACTTCCACCTCCCGGGTTAAGGCAATTCTCCTGCCTTAGCCTCCCAAGTAGCTTGAATTACAGGTGTGCACCACCATGCCTGGCTAATTTTGTATTTTTAGTAGAGATGGGATTTAGACATGTTGATGAGGCTGGTCTCAATCTCCTGACCTTGTGATCCACCTGCGTCAACCTCCCAAAGTATTGAGATTACAGGCGTGAGCCACCACACCTGGCCTTGGACTAGTTTCTTAACCTCTCTGAGCCCATTTCCTCATCTGCAAAATGGGGTCATGTATTGGCAATCCCTACCCTGTACAGTTCCTAGAACAGAGCTTAGCACACAGTGAGAGCTATTTAAGGGTAAGCTGTGATGAGTCTGTTGGCTTCAAGACGTAGGGTCACCCCAACATCTGGCACCCAGTAGGTACTCAGCAGGAGTGTGTCAAGGGAATGATTTTAATCAGAGTAGGGGGCCTGGCAGAGTGGCTCATACCTGTAATCCCAGGACTTTAGGAGGTTGAGGCAGGTAGATCACTTGAGGTCAGGAGCTTGAGACCAGGCTGGTCAACATTGTGAATCCCTGTCTATACTAAAAATACAAAAATTAGCCAGGCATTGTGGCAGGCGCCTGTAACCCCAGCTACTCAGGAGGCTGAGGTGGGAGAATGGCTTGAACCTGGGAGGCGGAGGTTGCAGTGAGCCGAGATTGAGCCCCTGCACTCCAGCCTGGGTGACAGAATGAGACTCCATCTCAAAAAAAGAAAAAGAAAGAAAGAGAGAGAGAAGGAAGGAGGGAGGGAGGGAGGGATGGAGGAAAGGAAGGAAGGAGGGAGGGAGGGAGGGAGGGAAGGAAGGAAAAGAAAGAAAAAAATCCATTAAATCAGAGTGGGGCTTTAGAGTCAACCAGTCTGTTCTGCATGGCTCAGGTCACGTGGCCCTTTTCCCCACCTTCTCCCCAGTCCCGTCCACCCTCCCACTTCTCTCTTGCTGCTAGTTCCTGGAGGCCACGCTGCGGTCCCTGACAGCAGGCTGGCATGTGGAGCTGGATCCCTTCATGGCCTCGACGCCCCTGGGGCCACTGGACTTTGGCAATGTGGTAGCCACGCTGGACCCGGGCGCTGCCCGTCACCTCACCCTCGCCTGCCATTACGACTCGAAGCTCTTCCCACCTGGGTCGACTCCCTTTGTGGGGGCCACAGATTCGGCTGTGCCCTGTGCCCTGATGCTGGAGCTGGCCCAGGCACTTGACCTGGAGCTGAGCAGAGCCAAAGAACAGGTGAGGAGCAGGAGCGGGGGAGGGTGGTGGGCTACCTCCACTTTTCCACAAGTCCCCACCCTCCCATGCCTGGTCATTGTCATCCGTCTCGTCTTCCCACTCTACTCCATGCAGAGCCACAGGGATCTTTTTTTTTTTTTTTTTTTTTTTTTTTGTGAGATGGAGTCTCACTTTGTTGCCCAGGCTTGAGGGCAGTGGCGTGATCTCGGCTTACTGCAACCTCCACCTCACAAGTTCAAGCAATTCTCCTGCCTCAGCCTCCCGAGTAGCTGAGATTACAGGTATGTGCCACCACACCTGGCTAATTTTTTATATTTTTGGTAGAGATGGGGTTTCGTCATGTTGGCCAGGCTGGTCCTGAGCTTCTGACCTTGTGATCCACCCCCCTCAGCCTCCCAGCATGCTGGGATTACAGGTGTAAGCCACTGCACCCAGCCTAATATTGTATTTTTAGTAGAGCCGGGGTTTCACCATGTTGGTCAGGCTGGTCTCGAACTCCTGACCTCAGGTGATCTGCGAACCTTGACCTCCTAAAGTGCTGGGATTACAGGTTCCAGCCACTGTGCCTGGCTGCCACAGAGATCTGTTTACCTCCTGGATGTCAGATCCTCTTTCCTCTCCCCCAAACTCTCCCAGGGCTCCCACCTCATTCCAAGCATAATCCAGAGTTCTTTGATTGGCCCAGGAGCTGTGCCCTGTTGCCTCTCCAGCCCCATCTCCCTCCCCTCACCCCTTGCTCACTCTGCTGTAGCCACACCCACCTCCTCTGGGTTCAGCAAACCCACAGGGCTCGCTCTCTCTCAGGGCATTTGCACTTTGCTGTTTGTTTTGCTTTTCTGGCCTGTAATCCCAGCACTTTGGGAGGCCAAGGCAGGAGGATTGCTTGAGGCCAGGAGTTCAAGAGCAGCCTGGGCAACATAGGGAGACCCCATCTCTATAAAAAATGTAAAAAAAGGTTGGGCATGGTGGCTTATGCCAGTAATCCCAGCACTTTGGAAGGCCAAGGTGGGTGGATCAAGAGGTCGGGAACCGGGGAGGTGGAGGCTGCAGCAAGATTGCGCCACTGCATTCCAGCCTGGGACAGAGCAAGATTCTATCTCAAAAAAAATAAAAAAGATATACTTTTCGGAGATATTTTTCTACTCTGCACTCAGATGTCACCTCTTCAAAGAGGCCTTCCCAGGCCGGGCGCGGTGGCTCACGCCTGTAATCCCAGCACTTTGGGAGGCCGAGGCGGGTGGATCACGAGGTCAAGAGATCGAGACCATCCTGGTCAACATGGTGAAACCCCGTCTCTACTAAAAATACAAAAAATTAGCTGGGCATGGTGGCAGGCGCCTGTAATCCCAGCACTTTGGAAGGGCGAGGTGGATGGATCAGGAGGTCAGGAGGTTGAGACCAGCCTGACCAACATGGTGAAGCCTCATCTCTATTAAAAAAAAAAAAAAAGACCCAACGCCCTCTCCAGGCCAGGTCATCCCCCAGCATCCTTCCTATGCCCTCTATAGTTCTCGGAAGCATTTGCCTCTACTGCATTTCACTGTGTGTATAATTATTCATTTGTGTGTCTGTCTCTTTAACCAAACTGAGCTTAAGGAATAATAATCAGAGATAACCCTTATTTAGTTATATGCCAGGCACTGTTCTAAGACCCAGATTCAAACCTCATACTTTGAAAAGAACTATTATTGCCAGGAACAGTGGCTTACATCTGTAATCCCAGCACTCTGGGAGGCCAAGACATTTGAGGTCAGGAGTTCAAGACCAGCCTGGCCAACATGGTGAAACTTTGTCTGTATTAAAAACACAAAAATTGGCCAGGCATGGTGGCAGGCACCTGTAATCCCAGCTATTCGGGAGGCTGAGACAGGAGAATTGCTTGAACCCTGGGGGCAGAAGTTGCAGTGAGCTTGGATCACGCCACTGCACTCCAGCCTGGGCAACAGAGCTAGACTCCATGTCACAAAAAAAAAAAAAAAAAAAAAGGGGAACTTTTATTAACCCCATTTATAGATGAAGAAGCTGATGCTTTGAGAAGTTAATAACTTCCCCGTGTCTCCTTTGTTACGAAGCAGCCAAGAACAGCTTCGATCCCAGACAATTGGACTTGGAGTCTGTGCTCTTGACTACCACGTTCTATGAATGAGGACACCTCATTTGTTCTGTTACGCTGTGCAAGCGGGCAAGAAATATGGGTGTGTTGAGGCTGCGGGCTAGTCCTGAGCTGGGTCTGGCCACCCCCCCGCTGCTCCCACAGGCAGCCCCGGTGACCCTGCAGCTGCTCTTCTTGGACGGTGAAGAGGCACTGAAGGAGTGGGGACCCAAGGACTCCCTTTACGGCTCCCGGCACCTGGCGCAGCTCATGGAGTCTATACCTCACAGTCCCGGCCCCACCAGGATCCAGGCTATTGTAAGACCAGGGTCCCCTGGCTTCTGGTGAGGGAGGGAGAGGTGAAGCGGGGTTTGCATCATCCTGCTCAGGCTCCTCCAGTCCTGGCCTCTCTCCTTAGGAGCTCTTTATACTTCTTGATCTCCTGGGAGCCCCGAATCCCACGTTCTACAGCCACTTCCCTCGCACGCTCCGCTGGTTCCATCGGCTGAGGAGTATTGGTAAGAGTGAATGCGGAGGTGGGCCCCAGCACACCTGGGCTATGGGGCACAGGATGGCAAGCTGAGGGGGGACAGGCACCTGCCCTCTAAAGGCTCATCCACCAGTCTGGGCCACATAGGGAGACCCTCCATCTCTTAAAAACAAATTAGTGGCCGGGCACAGTGGCTCATGCCTGTAATCCCAGCACTTTGGGAGGCTGAGTCTGGAGGATCATGAGGTCAGAAGACCGAGACCACCCTGGCCCATCTCTACTAAAAATACAAAAATTAGCTGGGCATGGTGGCATGTGCCTGTAATCCCAGGCAGGAGAATCACTTGAACCTAGGAGGCGGAGGTTGCAGTGAGCCAAGATCACACCACTGCACTCCACCCAGGTGACAGTGTGAGACTCCGTCTCAAAAAAAGAAAAATTAGCTGGGTACAGTGGCATGCATGTCATCCCAGCTACTGGGGAAGATCTTTTCAGCCTGGGAGGTCCAGGCTGTAGTGAGCTAAGATTGTACCACTGCACTCTGGCCTGGGCAATAGAATGAGATCTTGTCTTTGGGAAAAAAAAAAAAAAAACCTGAATTGAACCTTAGAAAGAAAGAAAAAAAATACCTGGGCTTGGTAGCTCACACCTGTAATCCCAGCACTTTGAGAGGCTGAGGTGAGTGGATGAGTTGAGCTCAGGAATTCCAGACCAGGCTGGACAACATGGCAAAACCCCATCGCTGTACACACAAACACACACACACACACAAATACAAATTAGGTTGGGCGTGGTGGCTCATGCCTGTAATCCCAGCACTTTGGGAGTCTGAGGTGGGCGGATCACCTGAGGTCAGGAGTTCGAGACCAACCTGGCCAATAGGACAAAACCCTGTCTCTACCAAAAATGCAAAATAGCCAGGCATGGTTGTGTATGCCTGTAATCACAGCTATTCGTGAGTCCGAGGCAGGAGAATTGCTTGAATTCGGGAGGTGAAGGTTGCAATGAACTGAGATCACTATTGCACTCCAGCCTGGGCAACAGAGCGAGACTGTCTGAAAAAAAAAAAAAAAAAAAAAAAAAAAAAAGGCCGGGTATGGTGGCTCACAACTGTAATCCCAGCATTTTGGGAGGCCGAGGTGGGTGGATCACAAAGTCAGGAGATAGAGGCCATCCTAGCTAACACAGTGAAACTTCATTTCTACTAAAAATACAAAAAATTAGCCAGGCATAGTAGCATGTGCCTGTAGTCGCAGCTACTCGGGAGGCTGAGGCAGGGGAATCGCTTGAACCCAGGAGATGGAGGTTGCAGTGAGCCGAGATCACGCCACTGTACTCCAGTTTGGGCAATAGAGTGAGACTCTGTCTCAAAGAAAAAAAAGAAAAAAATTAGCAGGGCATGGTGGTACCACCATGGTGGCAGTCCCAGTGACTTGGGAGCCTGAAGTGGTAGGATCACTTGAATCTGGGAGGTCAAGGCTGCAGCAAGCTGTAATTGCACCACTACACTCCAGCCTGGGTGGCAGAGTGAGACTCTGCTCAAAAAAATTAATAAATAAAGCCAGGCCTGGTGACTGATGCCTGTAATCCCAGCACTTTGGGAGGCTGAGGCAGGCAGATCACCTGAGGTCAGGAGCTCGAGACCAGCTTGACCAACACAGAGAACCCCCCGTCTCTACTAAGAAATACAAAATTAGCTGGGCGTGGTGGCACATTCCTGTAATCTCAGCTACTCAGGAGGCTGACGCAGGAGAATTGCTTAAACCTGGGAGGCAGAGGTTACAGTGAGCCAAGATCAAGCCATTGCACTCCAGCCTGGGCAACAAGAACAAAACTCTGTCACAAAAATTAATTAAAGTTAAAAAAATTAAAAATTGTTTTTAAAAATAAAGGCTCGGCTGGGTGCAGTGGCTCACACCTGTAATCCCAGCACTTTGGGAGGCCGAGGCAGGCAGATCACAAGGTCAGGAGTTCAAGACCAGCCTGACCAACATGGTGAAACCCTGTCTCTACAAAAAATACAAAAATTAGCTGGGCATCGTGGTGCGTGCCTGTAGTCCCAGCTACTCAGGAGGCTGAGGCAGAAGAATCACTTGAACCCAGGAGGCAGAGGTTACAGTGAGCCGAGATTGTGCCACTACACTCCAGTCTGGGCAACAGAGAGAGACTCCATCACAAAAAAAGAAAAAAAAATTAATTAATAAATGCTCATTCAGCCTTTCTCTACCTCCTTAGTCTGTCTAAGGAACTAGAGATTAGTGATAATGATTACCAGACAGGGGCCCTAAGGTGAGACAGCCGTGGTTTCCAATCTTACCAGCTGGGTGAACTTGGACAAGTGGCTTCATTTCTCTGAGTCTCAGTTTTCTACCTGTAAAATGGCCAGGGGACCCAGATGTAGTAGCTCATGCCTGTAGTCCCAGCAATTTAAGATACCAAGGAAGGAGGATCACATGAGCCCAGAAGTTCAAGGCCAGCCCAGGCAACATAGGGAGATTCTGTTTATACACACACACACAAACACACACACACAAACACACACACACACACACACAGAGGCATGGTGACATGTGCCTGAAGTCCCAGCTATTTGGGAGGCTGAGAGGAGGATCGCTTAAGCTGGGGAGGTTAAGGCTGCACTGAGTTGTGACTGCTTCACTGCACCCCGTGTGGGTGACAGAGCAATATCTTTTTTTTTTTTTTTGAGACAGAGTTGATCTCAGCTCAGTGCAACCTCCATTTCCTGGTTCAAGCAATTCTCATGTCTCAGCCTCCCAAGTAGTTGGGATTACAGGCGCCCACCACCACGCCCAGCTAATCTTTGTTTTTTTCTTTTTGAGATGGAGTCTCGGTCTGTCACCCAGGCTGGAGTGCAATGGCATGTTCTCGGCTCACTGTCACCTCTGCCTCCTGGGTTCAAGGGATTCTCCTGCCTCAGTCTCCTGAGTAGGTGGGACTACAGGCACATGCCACCATGCGCAGCTCATTTTTCGTACTTTTAGTAGAGCCAGGGTTTCACTGTGTTAGCCAGGATGGTCTTGATCTCCTGACCTCGTGATCCACCCGCCTTAGCCTCCCAAAGTGCTGGGATTACAGTCGTGAGCCACCTTGCCCAGACTAATTTTTGTATTTTTAGTAGAGACAGGATTTCAGCATGTTGGCCAAGCTGCTTTCGAACTCCTGACCTCAGGTGATCCACCTCCCTCAGCCTCCCTAAGTGCTGGGATTACAGGCATGAGCCACCGCACCCAGCCACAAGATCTTTTCTTAAAAAAAAAAAAAAAAAAAAAAAAAGGGTGTCTTTGTCTTCGATTCAGAGGGATTGAATGAAACCAGAAACATAGCAAGGCCACAGGAAGGAGTGACTGGCATTCACTCCTGTTGGGATGACCAGGGCTTTACCTCTGGGTGCTCTGCCCTCCTCCGATTTGTGAACTGGAGATTTTTGACTGCTAAGGACTAACCCTTCCTCTCAAATCACCCCCACCTCCAGAGAAGCGTCTGCACCGTTTGAACCTGCTGCAGTCTCATCCCCAGGAAGTGATGTACTTCCAACCCGGGGAGCCCATTGGCTCCGTGGAAGACGACCACATCCCCTTCCTCCGAAGAGGTACCTGTTGCCGGGAGCAAGGAGGGTGGACAACCAAGGAAGCCCCAATTGGAACTGGGCATGTCCCCTTCCCAAGGCTGGGGAATGGTACTAAGTGGCTTAACCTCTTTGTGCTTTTATTCATCTGTAATATGGGGATAATACTCTCTCTTCTTTCTGAGACAGAGTCTTACTCTGTCACCCAGGCTGGAGTGCAGTGGTAGGCTCTCGGCTCACTGCAACCTCCGACTCCCAGGTTTAAGCTATTCTCCTGCCTCAGTCTCCGGAGTAGCTGGGATTACAGGCACATGCGACCACGCCCAGCTAATTTTTGTATTTTTAGTAGAGACGGGGTTTCACCATGTTGGCCGGGATGGTCTTGATCTCCCGACCTTGTGATCCACCCGCCTCAGCCTCCCAAAGTGCTGGGGTTACAGGCATGAGCAACCGCATCCGGCCTTAATACTCTCTGTCTTAAGAGTATTGTTGAGGGGATTGAACGTGCTGATACCTATAAAGACCTTACTTGGTCATTGTTAAAGGGTCTGTGAAACAAAAAAGAAGCAGAAGAAGAAAAAAGACCTTACTTGGACGAGCGCCCAGCACATAGCAAGCATTCAAGAAATGTTTGCAGCTGGGCACGGTGGCTCACACCTGTAATCCCAGCAATTTGGGAGGCTGAGGCGGGAGGAATTTGAACCCAGGAGTCTGAAACCAGCAACATGGCATAAATCTTGTCTTTACTAAAAATACAAAAATTTAGCAGGACATGGTGGTGTGCACCTGTAGTCCCAGCTGCTTGAGAGGCTGAGGTGGGAGGATCACCTGAGCCTGGGAAGTCAGGGCTGCAGTGAGCCTTGATCAAGCCACTGCACTCTAGCCTAGGCGACAGGGGGAAAAAATATAAAAAAAAAAAAAAAAAAAGTGCCAGAGTTGGGCGAGGTGGCTTACGCCTGTAATCCCAGCACTTTGGGAGGCCGAGGTGAGTGGATCACCTGAGGTCAGGAGTTTGAGACCAGCCTGGCCAACATGGTGAAACCCCACCTCTACTAAGAATACAAAAATTAGCTGGGCCTCATGATTTCTGCCTGTAATCACAGCTACCCAGGAGGCTGAGGCAGTAGAATTGCTGGAACCTGGGAGGCGGAGACTGCAGTGAGTCGAGACCGAGACACTGCACTCCAGCCGGGGCGACAGAGAGAGACT